TCTATTTCCCTCTTCAATTGGATACAGTCGTCGGTGTGATGACCATGGTCTCTGTGGAAGTCACAATACTTCGTAGGATCCCTTTTTGCCGGGTCTGCTTTCATACAAGGTGGCCACCTTAAGAACTTCTCATTTTGTGCCTCATATAGTTTCTGAGACACTGTAGTAGTCAGGGGGGTGAGTTGCCGGGGTGCATACCTTGGTTGTAGCTCTGGTTGTGGAGGGCCGAGACGATTCCTGACATTTCATTTTCTCTTCAGGGAACGCTCTCTGTCTCTTCTTGGAGACCTGCATCGTTCTCTTTCCTTTCTGGGACTTTGTTCTCTCTTATTTTCTTCCTTCTTTTTCTCCTTTCTCGACGAAGAGCTCCCGACCTTGGAGAGGAGCACTTCCTCACCATTTATGTACTTTTCTGCTTTGGTGAGCACCTCCGCCATACTAGCCTAGGGGTTCTTTGAGATAGAAAACATCAGGTATTTTGACTGAACCCCCAGACCTGTTATAAAGGCTGTAATAGCAAATTTTTTGTNCGCCATACTAGCCTAGGGGTTCTTTGAGATAGAAAATATCAGGTATTTTGACTGAACCCCCAGACCTGTTATAAAGGCTGTAATAGCAAATTTTTTGTCTGGGACATCCACCTTCAAGGATTCTGAGTTGAACCGTTGGACATAAGACCGTAGGTTCTCATCAGGTCCCTATTTCACATTTAACAAATGGTAGCTCGGTTTCCTATAGGTCCGAGCTCCAATGAAGTGGGACACAAACGAGATTGACAACTCTTTAAAAGAGGAAATCGAGGCTGGGAGGAGTCTGTTGAACCATGCTAAGGTTGAGCCCTTCAGGGTGATAGCAAAGGCCCTGCATCTCATTGGATCTTAATATCCATGCAACTCCATTTGATTTTTGTAGGTGTTGAGGTGGTCCACAGGATCTTTTGTCCCATCGAAGGCATCCACCTGCGACATTCTGAATTTAGGTGGGAGAGGGAAGTGCAGCACCCCGACAGTGAATGGGGATTCGATTTGCTGCACCAAGGCATCCATGGTGACTAGGACCTTGCTCTTCACTGCCTCCTTCATTTGGCTGAGCTCTTTTTGGATGTCTTTAAAACGTTGCTCCTAGTGGTATTCTCTTCTCTCCTGTTGATAAGAGAAGAAGTCGCTCTTCTCCCCTTCCTTATATTGACTTTGTCATTCCTCGTTGTGACCATTCCTAGGGGGCAGGCGAGGTTCTTGCCCCAAGGTCTGGTTATTTTCTCTCACCTCATTAACTTCTCTAAGGGGGGTCGAGATGCGGTTGCTCCCTTGGTGGTGGGTTATTCTGGCCTCCTTGGGCCGGTCGCGCCTCCTATAGGAGTTGTAGGAGCTTTAAGAGCTCTTCGTTCTGTTTTATTAGACGTTCATTGACAAGACAAAGGACCTCCATCTCATTATTCATGAGAAGACCCCTCCATGGGGGGATCTACTTCTTGAGCATTTTCGGATTGTCTGTTATTTGTGACTTCCTGTTGATCTTGCATCCGTAGAGGATTGGTCTAACTTCGGCTCATAATTCGCGTTGATACCATTAGTCACTGAAAAATCAATTTTATTTGTAACAAGAACAGTCGTTCCCACAGACGGCGCCAAACTGATGGTGTATTTCAACGTGATACACATTTGTGATGACGAGTAAATGAAAGAAACAATATTGAAATTGTTGAGATCTAAGCTACTAGACTCGAGTGAATGATATTGAGAATTATCGGGGAGTTGGGGAATTATCACAGTTGGAATATAATGGTTCACCAGCTCGGGAGCTCGGCTAATCCACTCTTTAATGGAGACTCTTGCTCCTTATTTTTCAATAATGATGATTGCAAGAGTACAATGACTAGTTTTTGCCTCTAGGGTTCCTCTCTTTCCTTGGGGGCATTACATAGTATTTATAGGGCTGTTCCCTATTCAGTGGGATCTTAGCCGAGATTCTTGCCCTTATTTCGTGGGGTTCTCATTGATTATNGTTCCTCTCTTTCCTTGGGGGCATTACATAGTATTTATAGGGCTGTTCCCTATTCAATGGGATCTTAGCCGAGATTCTTGCCCTTATTTCCTAGGGTTCTCATTGATTATAGGAGAAGATCTTGGTTGGTTGAGATTAGGTGCCTTGATTATTGCTTCCTAACGCTTTTAGGAATCTCTCGTGATCTTCCAGCTGTTGCCTTGGTTGTTATTGCCCTTGCTTATCTCGGAGGGACCTCCAGCTCTACTCTTCCGAGTTTTGTTCGTCTAGTCTGACTTTTTGGGCTGAGCTGACCTTCTGAGCTGGCGTTTGGAATTTATTTTGAGATATGATCAATAAATAAGTTCAAAATTATTGTATAATAAAATTTAAAATTTATCACATTGTGAGAATTAAATAACTCATAATCCCACCAATTTGGCCTCCGGAACAGGTTTTAATGTATTCATTTGAAAACTTCAAAGTCAAAAACTATTGCTACAAATTGACATATTAAAATACTCGGTCCATGTGCCCAGCCTAGGGACTCGTACGATGACCCAGAATCCTCGCATGATCCATGATCTTAAAAGAATCTCATATTGATTAAATTTTGACATCAAATTTAAATTTTAAATGACACGACAGTTGAGACATTTTGAGATTTTCAGATAAGTATTTTATGGTAGCAATTTTTACTGTTACAAAAAAAATGTGTTTTGAAAGAATTTTTTTTTATAATAGTAATGTAGTCATACAAAATTTATCCTTTGAATGATTGGTTGCATCTATTGACTCATATCCATCTTGGCTTCTAAATATAAGTTTGACATCACTTATTCGAAATTTGACTACTTCCCCCACCTACATGAAAATTAGAAATTTTGACCTTGAAACACAATAATATCAAGGATATTGTTGTCACTCTACATGTACCATGTCTTATCCACTTTATTCTCTGTGACACTTTTAAAGAATAATGAGAATGGAGCGTTTTCCAAACTGCTCGTGTTCTCCTCTCTGTACAATCTCATCCATTACCCTTATAATAACAAGTATCTTTGATCTGTACTTCGGATCATATTTTAATTTCTTCATTGGGTTTTTTTTTATCTATTTGATGTTTTTAACACCCTTCTTCACAAATAATGATTCCACACTTTGGTCCGACACTGATTCCCTCCATTTTAGCTCATATTTATTTTTTGACAACGTTCTTTTTCTGGCCATGTCTGAAGAAGCAAGGCATATGCACATTTATCAAAATTGAGAGAGTGAGTTCATAAAAGCAACACATCCAGATCTATGTAAGAATGAAGCAACAAATACCCGCAATCATACCAACTAAAAGACTGAATTTAAATAAAAAAAATACACACATCTCAAACATTATTGTTTTTTCTTTCATATAGTGTGGACAGATAATGTGACACCATATTTGTAATATTTGTTGATATTCAGCATTAGATTCATCCGGCCATCATGTTTCTATAGTTGATGTCTATGGCGGCCGGCCTATTCTATTTATATTGATCCAATTGTAACTCTTTCATTTTGGTGGTTCTAACATCTACCGATATTGAACCACTAGAAGTCATTTTTCTTTTCTTTGGTGACTCTATTTAGCTATCAGTATTCAATAAGATAACACTATGCTAAAAAATAATATTTAGTTATCTTAATCCAACCTATAGATTACTTATTCCATTACTCGACATCAAAGAGTCGCAGTTTATATTGTGTTCAATCCATACTCGACGTCATAGCTAGCTCTAATACTACAAATTATTATGAACAAATGTATAAAAATTATCCCTAGAAATCGACTTGTAAAGAAGGGAGTTCAAAAATTTATATATACACATAATCTTATTTTCACAACAGTACCCTTTAACTTCTATTTCTGATTTGTATATACTATCTGCAACTTCATCCATTTGCACACCACTTCCACGTCGGAGAGAGAGAAGAGAAGACATGATGATCTCAGCGACCTTACGCGTCATAGCGGATGCGGGATGATCTCAGCCACGAATGACTCTTTCGCAAGCAAGGGACTTTATTAAAGGGTATTGTGTGAATATGAGCTGCACAAGAATCTATAGAATTATTTTGTGGAAATGTGTGGTGAACACCTCAATGAGTGATCAGAGTGTTTTTCAAAAGCCAAGGGGTAACAATACTGCATCTGTGACCCTTAGGGCAACAATAGAGTTCAAGTTATTTACCACAATGCGGTAATTTTTAAATTTTATTATTGATCTACGGCACTTTTGAATTTAATAATTACGACATTTTTTAAAATTGATGTCAACAATCCCATTTTTGTTTAAAAACGAGATCAATAATCACTCTTTTAAATAAAAAATATGATTAGTAGTTACAGTGGTCATAGATGAAAAGCATGTAACTTAATCGTGTTTACTAAATACACCATTTAATTAAAAAACTCATAGTCCCATCTATTTGGTGATGTATCAACTTCTCTTGTGGGAAGGAACATGTTTTAATGTATTCATTTCTTACTGGAATGTTTAAAGTCAAAAAGCTAATGCAACAAATGGACATATTTAAAACCTCAGTCCATGTGGCCAACCTATGGACTCGTACGACGAGCCAGAATACATGCATCAAGAGGATCTTAAAAAAAAAAAAAACACTGCTGGAAACGTGATTCAAAAAATAAAAAAAGAAGAAGAAGGAGGAGGAGGAGGAGGCGCTCCTTAATTCCTTGTTGGACACGTTAAAGTCAAATTTCACATTCACATATTGAATGAATACCGCAGTCCATGTGGGAAAGCAAGATATAAAAAAGAAGATCCCCGCCGGGAGACTCGGAAAAAGAGGAGGACAAGGTGACATCAAGTTTTGAGTTTAACATCAGGTAACAGCCAACAACCATTTCCCCATCCCTCTGATCCCCACTATAAAAGCTCACCCACCACCCCACATATCCACACCAATCCTAAGGATCAGTTGAAAGACCTATCCAGATAGCAGTTGCATACCCACATCACATGGATCCTCTGGTGTATAATGCTGCCGTTTCTGGTGATATTGGTATCCTTGAGCAAAACAAGGACAAACTTGTGATTGAAGTCACTCCAACCAAAAATAGTGTTCTCCATCTTGCATGCCAATCAGGGAAAACAGAATGTGTGCGGCAGATTCTTTCAATGCATAAATCTCTATTACGTAAAAAGAATTCAAATAAGGATTCTGCGTTTCACATGGCAGCCAAAAATGGATCCTACGACGTAGCCATGGCCCTCATGGAATGTGCACTAGGCATGGAATGTGCAGTTGTTAAATTTGTGAAGAAGATGCTGCGAAGGAAGAATCTGAATAAGCTTGAAGCCCCTGAGTTTTTACATGCTAATAATGTAGGGGAGACCCCGCTTTATATTGCTGCCGAGATGGGATATGAAAATTTGGTGGCAATGATTTTGAAAAGATGCTCCTCACCACCTTATAGTGGATCATATGGGAGAACAGCTTTACATGGAGCAATTATCTCCAACAGCGAAGGTACATATTGTTCTAATCACTATCACTCACAGTATATAATAAAACACCAAGCAAATTGAATTTTTACACTTTATACATTTTTCCTTCAAAAGTATCACCCATTTTCTATCATATTTTTAATTATTTAATATTTAATTAATTTGTAGTTTAGCATAATTTTTATTTTAGACATTATTTATACACGACATTATACACATATTGAAAAAATTTTGTTGACTTACATATTTTGAAAAAATTTGTCGATATTTTTTAAAAAATAATGGGTAAAAATAAATTTTAAATGATGTAATAAAAAAAATGAAGAAAAAAAAATTATTATTTAATATAATGGAATCGGTTTTTTGAACACTCGAAGTTTATATTCTATTATCGTAACTTCAAATACGGGTTATGATTAATTATATTATGTTACGTAGAAAGGACTTCAGATACACATAGAACATCTCCACTTGAACACAATATTGTTTATATCCAACTATAGATCTACATGTATCCTAAGGAGTGGAAAATCGCTCTTAGGCATTAGAAAATCTATCTACTGTTATATAGAAGGGTCAATTTTTCTTTTCTCCTGATTTTACCTAAGGATACTTTATACCCTTAAAGTCTAGACTAAGGTGTAACACGAACATGTTTGGTTCAGTTATACATAAAGGGTGACATTAGATAATAGCGCTCACCCAATTCATAAAATGTTGTTAACAAGAGTATTACCAATATAGTATATTAAAAAATAAGTACAGGTTTCATTTTTTTCTCTTTAATGTTTCTCTTCTTCACTTTATTTCTTCTATAAATCTACTGCAATTGAGGAAGGAAATCGACAATGGTTTATTTTAGGGAATATATATACACACACACCCCCCAAAACACATGAAAGTCTTATAAATGTGTCATTTATAAATTTTTATGGTAATTATGACTATAAATATTTAGCTATGCAGTGTTTGTTAAGTGCTACTTCTAGCTGTAAAGAATTTGTGCCAATTTTTTCTAGTTGCCCAGCAAAGAGTACGTGTACAAAAGGTTCTCCTCCAAGTGTATTTTTGTAAATCTGTTCATGTCCAATTTCACATTATTAATTCAACGTTACTATGCTGAAGAAAGCTGTATCCTCGAGATACTTAAGATCAATTATATGAGTTATGTTTTGCGACTTTGTTTGACTAAGGTTTAATCACAAGTTAATAATATTTTTAATTACTATTTCAGTCCGCTTTAATTTTTGTTTACTTTGTGCCATGATGTTTGACTAACATAAGCCTTGTTTTATCTTTATTCTCAATACCTTTTCTTAGTAAATACAAAAATATTATTGGATTGGAACCGATCTCTAGTCAAAGAAACGGATGAAAATGGATGGAGTCCACTTCATTATGCTACATTCCTTGGTTTCCACGAAAGGGTACTCCAGCTATTGGATGTGGATAAGTCTCTTGCATACGTTGCAGACATAGACCGTAATACATGTCTTCATGTAGCAGCTTACCGAGGATTTATTTGTGTAGCCGATGTACTTATAGTACAATGCCCGGGTTGTTGGGAAATTGCCAATAGTAGAGGAGAAAATATACTTCACGTTGCTGTGAAGAATCAACAAGCTTCCTTTGTTTCATATATCCTACGAGAACATACATCAATTAGCAACATTCTTATAACTGAGAAAGATGTTGATGGCAACACACCTCTCCATCTGATGGCTAATTCCAATTGCTTGGTACCTGAACTCAGTACTATGGTGGATAAGAATGCCTTAAACAGTGAAAGCTCGACTCCCTGGGGCATAGTGAACGACGGTGATTCATCTCAAATAGGTTTGGTAAGAAGGATGCCTTACTTTTTATTTTCGATTTCATGATGCATGTCCTCAATACCATGAGAAAAAATTAGGGATTAATATCTAATTGTTGGATAGTTATCCTATATCTTAACAATCTGTAAACCAATATTCATCATGCCTTTGAAAAGTATGAAAAATCAAACAAAACGAGTCACTGTGTGTATATGTGTAGAGCTCTCAACTACATATTGTGTAGATCTATATATCCAAAGTTTGGGAAAACTATACTATGTTTGGGATAGTATTATTTTATGCTTTCGAATTGTGATATGTTTTACCCCATTGACTATTTATTTAAACACACTATAACATTAACCAATTCACGTGAACTATTTTTGTCTGACATATAACAATTTTTGCAAAACCAGAATTTAACAATCTGTACAAATGCCCTGAATTTTAATGATCAATAGCACAATATGTTTAGATCAATTGTCGAGCATGTTAAGTGAAATAAAAAATATAACTTTGGAGTAGAAAAGTATAATTTTGAATACTTAAAGGGCCACGCGAGGAAGATCGATCCTGGTTGATCCTTACGCGTGCCAACTCTAAGCAACATAACACTTTCTTTTTATGTTTTTCTCTCTTCTGTTATGAGTATTGCCTGTATTTTGTAGAGCAAACAATATTCTTCACATATTTCCTAATTCATGGTTCAAGAACTAAACTTGCAGGTCAAAGGGGAACAGCTAGGAGTTGGTGCTCATTTAAGCTTGCCGAAAGCAATCAGAATCTTTAGAGACAAAAGCAAAATCAAAAAGAAAGTAACTAGTAGTGGTGAGGACAAAATAGAAAAGATGAGAAGAGCATCCGACTCGGTTATGATAGTGGCTACTCTTGTAGCAACAGTAACATTCGCTGCTGGATTCACCATACCTGGTGGATACTATCAAAGCATTGATAAATACCCAGGAATGGCAGTTCTATCCAAAAAATCAGCTTTCCAAGCATTTATGATATCAGATACTTTAGCCCTGCTATCGTCTGTCATTGCTATATTTGTCAACTTTTGGGGAATACTAGATGGAAGAGAACACACACTTAAGAGGTCAATCTTGATGGCCATTTTTTACACTGCGAGTGCCATTGCATGGATGATGGTCGCATTTAGTACAGGGACTTATGTGATATTGTCTCCATCACGAACCCTTGCGATCGCGGCATGTTTTCTTGGTATCTTGGCGGCATTTTGTAAAACTCAATCATTTTTCATCTTCCAAATGCTTAAAGTGGGTTTTGATCGCTCTTTGGGATTGTCTGAAAACCTTAAAAAACTAATAAATTCTACCTTTCTGAACGATGAAGACTGAAGTATCGTGGTCCCTACAAGATTTTAGAAAGCTTACATGATGTATGTATCAGGTTAGGTTGTGCATTGAATAAGAGAGTGAAATACAGAGTATGTAAGAGAGAGAGGGAGAGAAGTTTAAGGCGGTGACCAAATCTCTGCCAAAATCTGTGTAATAACTAAACTTGTAATTTTATTGTACTTTGTTCCCTTTCTTGCTTAAATATTACGCTTTATATTCCTTTGCCACCACCACTCACCGCCCCTATCGCCGCCCACCGTCATCACCTCCAACCACCACCCACTATCACCACCTCCAACCACCATCTACTGCCGCCATCACTCAACACCATTGTCACCAACCACCACCCCACCCCCACCTGCCGCGGCCANCAAATAGGTTTGGTAAGAAGGATGCCTTACTTTTTATTTTAGATTTCATGATGCATGTCCTCAATACCATGAGAAAAAATTAGGGATTAATATCTAATTGTTGGATAGTTATCCTATATCTTAACAATCTGTAAACCAATATTCATCATGCCTTTGAAAAGTATGAAAAATCAAACAAAACGAGTCACTGTGTGTATATGTGTAGAGCTCTCAACTACATATTGTGTAGATCTATATATCCAAAGTTTGGGAAAACTATACTATGTTTGGGATAGTATTATTTTATGCTTTCGAATTGTGATATGTTTTACCCCATTGACTATTTATTTAAACACACTATAACATTAACCAATTCACGTGAACTATTTTTGTCTGACATATAACAATTTTTGCAAAACCAGAATTTAACAATCTGTACAAATGCCCTGAATTTTAATGATCAATAGCACAATATGTTTAGATCAATTGTCGAGCATGTTAAGTGAAATAAAAAATATAACTTTGGAGTAGAAAAGTATAATTTTGAATACTTAAAGGGCCACGCGAGGAAGATCGATCCTGGTTGATCCTTACGCGTGCCAACTCTAAGCAACATAACACTTTCTTTTTATGTTTTTCTCTCTTCTGTTATGAGTATTGCCTGTATTTTGTAGAGCAAACAATATTCTTCACATATTTCCTAATTCATGGTTCAAGAACTAAACTTGCAGGTCAAAGGGGAACAGCTAGGAGTTGGTGCTCATTTGAGCTTGCCGAAAGCAATCAGAATCTTTAGAGACAAAAGCAAAATCAAAAAGAAAGTAACTAGTAGTGGTGAGGACAAAATAGAAAAGATGAGAAGAGCATCCGACTCGGTTATGATAGTGGCTACTCTTGTAGCAACAGTAACATTCGCTGCTGGATTCACCATACCTGGTGGATACTATCAAAGCATTGATAAATACCCAGGAATGGCAGTTCTATCCAAAAAATCAGCTTTCCAAGCATTTATGATATCAGATACTTTAGCCCTGCTATCGTCTGTCATTGCTATATTTGTCAACTTTTGGGGAATACTAGATGGAAGAGAACACACACTTAAGAGGTCAATCTTGATGGCCATTTTTTACACTGCGAGTGCCATTGCATGGATGATGGTCGCATTTAGTACAGGGACTTATGTGATATTGTCTCCATCACGAACCCTTGCGATCGCGGCATGTTTTCTTGGTATCTTGGCGGCATTTTGTAAAACTCAATCATTTTTCATCTTCCAAATGCTTAAAGTGGGTTTTGATCGCTCTTTGGGATTGTCTGAAAACCTTAAAAAACTAATAAATTCTACCTTTCTGAACGATGAAGACTGAAGTATCGTGGTCCCTACAAGATTTTAGAAAGCTTACATGATGTATGTATCAGGTTAGGTTGTGCATTGAATAAGAGAGTGAAATACAGAGTATGTAAGAGAGAGAGGGAGAGAAGTTTAAGGCGGTGACCAAATCTCTGCCAAAATCTGTGTAATAACTAAACTTGTAATTTTATTGTACTTTGTTCCCTTTCTTGCTTAAATATTACGCTTTATATTCCTTTGCCACCACCACTCACCGCCCCTATCGCCGCCCACCGTCATCACCTCCAACCACCACCCACTATCACCACCTCCAACCACCATCTACTGCCGCCATCACTCAACACCATTGTCACCAACCACCACCCCACCCCCACCTGCCGCGGCCATCAACGGTATGAAAAAAAAAAAGGTATAAATTTTAGGCCCCAAATTTTTAGAAGACACCATAATTTTAGGTAAATTATTAGCCCACAAAAAAAATTAAATCCATTCAATTTTAAGTTCTACAAAAAAGTCTCAAAAAATTAAATTCAATCAAAATTTTTATTTCAATAATTTGAGCCTATAACATTAAAAACATAGAAATAAAAAAAATACTCAAAAGTCTACTCATATTTACTTCCCCCTCTATCTCTCTCTCTCTCTCTCCCCGGTAAAAAAAATAAACAATAAAAATAAAAGTTGAAATTAAATACTCTCTCTTCCTCTCCGAGATAAAAAACAAAAACAAAAGTTGAAATATTTTTTTCGATAATGTTCACACATCATTCTTTTGTCTCTCTCTCTCTTTCTCACATAAAAAAATTAAAATTAAATTACTTTTTTAAAAAAATTAATATTAAAAATAAAAAGACATACATTTAATATTTCTATTTAGGCCTCAAATTAACTTGGACTGCCCCTGACCAACAACCACCCACCACCACCGTCCACTAACTCCACCACCACCACGGCTACCCATTGATACTAATCATTACCACCCAAAACCCACTACCACAATCCACCACCACCACCCATTGCCGCCATCTCACCACCACCCACCATTGCTGCCCACCACCATTGCCATCACCCACCACTACTACCCATTGTCACCAATCCCCACCCTTACCGTCTTTGCTTACCACCACCACCACCACCCCACTGCAACAAATACCGCCTCCAAAAACCACCGCCATCACAAAAAATAGTAAAAAAACAGTGTTTTAAATCTGGCCTAGCCCGACAGGTCAACCTGGTGAACTGGTCTCTTAACCGGGCTGGTTCTAATTAAAATCCGTTTATGTACAGAACCCAAGGTTAACTTGTTAAACCGGCCAAAAACTGGTGGTCCCGTGAGAACTGGTCAAGTTTATAAAATCAGACGGTTTGATTACATTTCTAGAAATACGAGATTTTTTTCCCCTTTTTTTCCCTTTTGTTTGTTCCCCTTTTGCTGCCCTAAATCAATCCAGACTCTAGAACCAGAAAAATCACATAGCCTCGCCTCCACCACACCACCCATGAATCAGATCCAGAATCCAGAACCAGAAGAGTCGCACAGCCTCGCCTCCACCACACCACCAACGAATTAGATCCAGACTCTGTGAGCGATCAGATCATCCGACCAGTGCGCGTGATCAGGCACAGGCATCGACTCCAGTCCAGTGCAGTCCACCAATAGTGAAAATTGAAAGCGTTGTTGTTGTTGGGTGCTGAAAAAAATTTAAGGCAGTGGATGTATTTGAAAGTGAATGTAGCCAGCTTGTGAGTGTAACTCTTGTCTATACTTTAAATTCAACTCCAACTTTTATACTTAATATTTATCACTAAAGTCAGATTTCTACAATTTACAAGTTATTATTTATTTATGAAGAACCTATCCACATTGTAAATGATCTGATCATTATGTTCAAAATGTCAGGCATTTGATTTTGATTGCTGGATTCACTTTAACAAAAAATATTTTTTGCGATGTTTTTTTTGTGACGATTTTAAATTTGTCGCAAAACGTTTACTATTCGCGACGATTTTATAATTTTTTCACAAATTTCTCTTTTGACAATTTTTTTTTGTGACGTTTTAAAAGACGATTCCCTCTTAATTGTTTTTCGTGGGGAGAAATGGCAGGAATTTGCAATTTTTTACAAAAAAAAGTTTTGGTCGCAAATAGTTTTAGCTCGTCGCAAAAATAAATAATCTAAAATTTAAGGTAAAATAAAGTTTAAATTTATATTTTGGAGATTTTTTGCGATGTTTTTCGTCGCGAAAATACGATTCCCTCCAAATTATTTTTTGGTAGAAGAAACTGGAGGATTTGACAAATTAAATAAAAAAATAATTTAATTAAGTTTTCGCGATGTTTTTAAACAACATCGCCAATAATGTTTTACGTAAATAAAAAAAATAATTTAATTAATTTTTTCCGACGTTTTGTAAAAACGTCGCCAATAATTTTTATGTAAATAAAAAATTTTAAAAATAATAATTTAATTAATCTTTTACGACATTTTTACAACAACGTCGCGAAAAGGCAATTCCTTTCAAAATGTTTTTTGGCGGGAGAAACGGTGGGAATTCACAAATTAAATAAAAAAAAATTAATTATTTTTTGCGACATTTTAAGGAAACGTCGCGAATAAATTTTTCCGTAAATANCAATTTTAAGTTCTACAAAAAAGTCTCAAAAAATTAAATTCAATCAAAATTTTTATTTCAATAATTTGAGCCTATAACATTAAAAACATAGAAATAAAAAAAATACTCAAAAGTCTACTCATATTTACTTCCCCCTCTATCTCTCTCTCTCTCTCTCCCCGGTAAAAAAAATAAACAATAAAAATAAAAGTTGAAATTAAATACTCTCTCTTCCTCTCCGAGATAAAAAACAAAAACAAAAGTTGAAATATTTTTTTCGATAATGTTCACNGTAAATAAAAAATTTTAAAAATAATAATTTAATTAATTTTCGGGACATATTTAAAAAAACGTCGCAAATACATTTTTCAGGATAAAAAATTATTTAATTAATTTTTTGCAACGTTTTTGAAAAACCGTCGCCAATAAATTTTTTCGTAAACAAAAATTTTTTAAAAATGTGATGTTTTTATTTTCGTCGCAGAATATAAATGACAACCTCATTTAAAGTTAAAATATAAATATAAATACTAAATTGAGATGTTTTATTATGTACGTCGCAAAAAAATATTTTCAAAATTTATTGCGACGTTTTTATTTTTGTAGCAGAATATAAATTAAAACCACATCTCAATTTAAAATAAAATAACAATATTAAATTGCTACGTTTTATTATTAACGTCACAAAAATATTTTCAAAATTTATGACGACGATTTTTTTTTCGTCACAGAATATAGATTATAACCACATTTAAAGTTAAAATAAAATAAAATTGTATAACGGATGACATATAAAAATATCACCCTTTGTTAAATTATAGTCATATGTTATATTCAACGTCTCTCGCTTTTTATGCACAATCCATTAATTGGATTCTTACTGATACATTCCAAACATAGCCCACCATCCTTTTTATTCTTTTCATAATATCTATATAATAAAGTAGTTTACAATTCAAATCTCAAAAGATAAATAGAATGACTTTTACTATTTACGGTTGATATCACTTTAAATTTTACTTTAAAATAAATCTAATGGCTAGTATTAACACCTTAAATTTAATAAGAAAAATAGGATATTAAGGGTGTGTTTGGAGTGACTTTGTAAAAAAAGTTCTACGAATTATGTTTTATAAGTACTTTAAAAAAATGATGTTTAAAACTGCCCCACCACTACCTCTACCACCACTGTCGCCGCCGCCGCTGCCACCACCACCGTCACCACCACCACCACCACTGTCGCCACAAATACTGGAGATAATTATAAATAATTAGGTCAGCAAATAATATTCAAGTAACATTGTTCTTGTTTATATTAGATTGGTAATGAACTTTATTTAACTAGTATTATAGAAATAAAAATGTGGATTTATTTGTAATTATTTATTAAGCATTGACATTATTATTGTTTAAGAAATATATTTTTATTTACTATTATTATTTTTTTTATTAAGTTAATTTTTAGTTTGTAGAAAAAATATGAGTATGAATTCAATTAAAAGAAACTAGAATATTGGAGTTAAATTTTTTATCTAAAGTTTATTTAAAGTGGATTATTTGCGACGATTTCATAATTTTGTCGCAAATTTTATTTTGGGCAATTTTTTTGTGACGTTTTTAAAAAACGTCGCGAAAAGGTGATTCTCTCCCATTTTTTTTGGGCACTAGAAATGGCGGGAATTGATAATTTTTTATGACAAATTTTTTTGTCGCAGATAGTTTGAATTCGTCGCAAAAAAAATAATCTCAAATTAAAATAAAATCAAAATATTTAATTCGTGACGTTTTATGTTTTTCGTCGCAGAATATAAATTTTAGATATTAATGTAAAATACAATAAAAATATGAATTCGCGATGTTTTTCTATGTTTGTCGCGAAAATAAAATAAAACAACGTCGTTCAGAGTATTTAACACATTTCCCTAAAATACCTTCTCAACGCCACTCTCTCTCTCCACCTCCTCGCCATCTCTCTCTGTGTCTCGAATTCTACTGTGCTGAATTGAGATGGACCGAGAAGCATCCCTCGTTGTTGGAATCGCTAGGCAATCAAAGTCTCAAAGTTCAGCCCAAGGCAATTGAAGTAGTCTCAAAGTCTCAAAAATATCCAGTGAAATCAGGCAATCGAAGTCTCAAGGCAATCGAAATCTCCAGTGAAATCAGGCTAAGTAGTCGAAGTCTCAAAGTTCAGCCCAAGGCAGTCAGTTAGTCTCCCCCTTCTCCTTCATTCTATTAATCTGTAAGTCCTCTCTCTCTCCCCCCTCCCCTCACTGTGTTCCTCTATTTACCCGACTCCACCGCCTCCTATTTCCACCTTCCCTGTTGTCACATAACCAAGAGCCATCGACATCGGTCCATCTTTTTTGGGTCATTCTGTATTCTGATTTTGCCAAAAACAACTGA